GCTTTTCTGTAGGTTTTTGATCCCTGAGAGTACAGTTGAGCATACAGGACACACAAATTAATCTAATGTCTATTTAGCATGTTTAAACAATATTCAAACTCACATTTGAACTCCATATAGAATTCATTTTTTGCCTTGCAGTGTTCAAATTACTTCAATGGTCATACCAAAATCTCCAAACCCTATCTATACATAATCACTTGAAAAGTACTCCCTCCAGTCCTATTTATAAGCTTCAAACTTAGGAAGGGGTGTGGTCTATTTAATGTATTTTTTTTCAATGTTGCCCTTAATTATTTCTCTCTTATCACATTTCCCCATACATTCTCTCTCATCATTTTCTCATTCATTATAAGGACATATTTGGAAACAAAAGTATATTTCTAACCCATTTATTGTTTTTAACTAATTTTAACTAATTGTTCTTTACTCATGAATTAGTTATTTAAAGCTTGTAATAAGAACCAGATGGAGTCTATGATTTGCATATTTTCATCTTACAAAACTAGCTTCAGATTCTTAAAACAGAAGGGGAAAAAATGAATGATACGTCCTCATCCAAAACGAAGCAGATTCTATCTTTCCACTCAAGTAAATTCAAGGTGCAAAAAAGTTGGATGGACTAGGTAAGAAAGGCTCTCCAACAGAGCCACGGCAGCATCCAAAACGTTCTGATCCCACTTCTTGACTTCCATCAACTTCCACCCTGAAGTACCAAATTGTGAAGTTCTTGTATTTTATCAAAAAGCCAAATGAAAAGCTGATTCAAAGGATTTAAAGTTGCATTACATTAATAACCTGACATTTAGGCATCCATTCAAATCACAATTCACAAACATCATCAAGCCATCACTGGGAAGCCGAAGATGCTGGTCTAAATTAGAAGCCACAGCCAAGTTTACAAGCCATATCATCAACGAGTTTGTTTCTTTTCAAGTATAGCCTAAATATAGAATGACAAGAATCCCAAAATGCCCACCAAATGGTTAAAAGTTAGTAACAAGACAGTAAACTATTGACTATTCAAAAGGTTTTCATCTTGATCCGAATCAGCCATAGCTGGAGGCTTACACTCTTGCTCAGTTACTATATTTTCTCAAATAACTAGTGGCAAAACAGAAACCAACATGAATGAGCCTAAGGGTTCAAATTCAACAATGTAGAACTCGCTCCCAACGAAACGAAAGAAAAAGCGCTAAATTAATAATTTCCTGCAACAACACATACCTTGTTATCGTTTAAGTTGAACTGGCCCTTTCCCGGATGCTCTGAGGAGGGAAAATAATTCAAAAAGTGATTTAGATACACTTCATAAATCACCATAAGTATGCATAGAACTTATCGAAATTTACGAAGGAGTAAAAATACGAACTAGATTTGCCGTCTCTCTGTGTGAAAACCAAAATACTGAGCAAAAAACCGAGAACCAATGCCAAGGCGGCTATGAGCACCATACTTTGGTGAATTCGGCGCCTCTAATGCTTAATGAAATCTGAATCAAAGAAAAATGAAAGGATTAAAGTGAAGCCGGAAATGAGAGTGGGAATGTCGTGGAAAGGTAAGAACGAATCTATACAAGAATCTACAGAAAGTGAACGTGAGCTAACAGTATTTGAGCAGCGAAAGATGCCGGCCAGGCAGGGAGGCTCAAGGATTCCGAAGACAACAACTGGTTATGGCATGTCGATTTTTCTGTGGGCTACTGTGAACTGGAGGTCCATTGCCCATGCGGACAGGCCGGGAGGGGAAGGGAGAAAATAAAAATTAAAATAATTTGTTGGGTAAGAGATTATACAACACCCTCTCCCCCCCCCCCACCCCCAATATACCATTATAAGATTATTTTTAGTACACATAGCACCTTAAATATGAGGTCTATATATAATTAAAAAAATAATATCAACATACTGAATACACTAATAAAATAAGATTAAATATTAAATGTATTATAAATAAGATTAAAATTAAAATACTGTATACGCCCAAAAAATATGATCACGTTACTGGTTGTACTATCACTCTAATTTTTTTTTTTTGGTCAAATTGTAAGTTCAGCTGTAACTTAATTTTCCACTTCGCGCAGCACTATAATTTAACTATTTAAAATATTGGTCTTTCATGTTTTAAATAAAATAACATATTTATGAAATAAGGGACTAAAATCTTAAGTAGATAAAATTATGAAAACTGAATTGCATCGAATCAAAACTATAAGAATTAAGAAGATTAATTTTTTTTAAAAATGATATTTTTCAATTAACTAATTTATTTAATTTTTTTAATCTAATCAAATTAATTAAATAAGTCTTATATTAAAAATTGAAAGAGTATAAAATTAAAATGTCAAGTACACTCCCAAATCCCAATTAAATCATCTATTTCTAGGCTTTCTATGGCTACATTGTTGTTGGGCTGGGTCCTCCCCTGTGGGCCCAAGCAATCCACTTTCGGGCCTTGATCTTTTTTTTTTGGGCTCTTTTTCAAGCCTTGCTCTTGCTCCACTTCATCCTTCAGCAGCAACAAGATTAACCCTCCAGCTCTAATGAAGGGACTAGTTTCCCACAACGTGGTGAACTAAAATTCGAATCTCTTTTGGGAGAGGTGTTCATATTTAGTGTCCAACAGTGTCTCAAATAGGATTACCTTCAATAGGAGGATACCGATGCTTTAGCCACAAAAAAAAAAAAGGTTAACCCCCCGAAAAGAAAAACAAATAAATCCTTATCTCTGGTTTTTTATGTACTTTGTTGTGACTAGGACTTGCGGTTTCTCATATTGTTTTTTTAGATCTTTAAATTTGTCCTTATTTTTAGTTTTGACTTAAATTTTAAATCATAGATTTTGATTCTGCAAAAAGTAAAATGACCCGAGTTTTTATTAAATTACAGAGACCAACATTTTAAATGAAAATAAACTTGAGAAATAGAAACATGTGGTTTGAAATTAGAGGGAGCAAAACTATAATGAGAATAAATTCAAAAGTCCAAAAATTACATTATTTTTTTTATTATCATAATTAATGCACTCATGGTACCCTCTATAAAGGGTTCAAACTCAAAGCCAGACGTTTAAAAAAACTTGTGTCGTTCGGGTGGCAAGGCCCCAACTCATAATGCTTACTTGATTATTGCAATTCATATACAAAATTTCTGATAAGTTCTTCTTTAATTCTAGGCTCCTAAATGTTTTGGTTGTCATTATTTTTTAAGAAAAACTCCTAAATGTTAAAACAAATAAATTCATAATACACATATTGCTAACATTATCAGTTTATAACCGTTGATCTTCTAAAAATAATAATTAATATTTTCTTTTGGCCTTAGATTCAAAATAAGAACTACATTTGTTTATAATAGTATAGTATTGATTCAGTGGCTTAATAAATGGATTAGTGGATTTTCAAGATTAGTTTAGCTCATAAAAGGACCCAATTTCCAAATGCCAACAGTATTGTAATACCTCCTTGGTCATACTAAGTTACAATAATATTGAAAAACATACAAATCAAGGAAATAATAAAATTTATGTGATGTGTAAAAATTAATTGTTGTTTTACATTTGTACATCAATTAAATAACATGAGAATTGAGAGATGGTGTATTTTTAAATGTCAATGATGGAATATGTAATTCAAATTTTTTCATAAGTAGTATCTTGAAAAAATTGTTAGAGCCATTTGGCTAACACTAAACATATCATTAAGTTTTAACTTAAGCAAGAGGTCATGACCTTGACTTTTGTGAGCATTATGGATGTATGAGTTCCTTTCAATAGGCGAATGGGGGAAAAATCTTCAAACTTATGTACCGATTGCAAGGCAAAATGTGTATTATATTATTCCGTCCAATTTTTAATATAAAAGATACTGTAATTTAGATTATATATTAGTTTATAAATTACGTAAATTAATTATCAGAAAAAAGATAAATATTAAAAATAAGATTAATGAAATTTTTATAGTACCTCCGGTCTTTAATATAAGATCCTATTTAACTTTTATATTAGTCCTAAATATAAGATCCTAATCCATTGTATTTCTCATATTTACTCAATTTTTTTAAGGTAGTCATTCTAACAATTATAGTTTTAGCCAACACACTTGATTAGTAAAAATATTTTAGAAAAGACAACATATATTTGTTACAAATAACTAACTTAACTTCTTTTTTTAATTTCCTCAAATGAATCAACTAGCTCTTATAATTAGGACCGGGGTAGCATTTAAAATTAAACCTAACATTCCAGCTAGCTTATATCAACAACCGGAGGAAGGAAATATGAATTATATGATGCTTATCCTTCTCCTACGCTAGAAGAAAAGCATTCTTCATAAAAAAGAAAATTAAGAGCATCATCCATTTGCAATCAGAACTAGATTCCGCAAAATCTTCAATTTCACATCCACCACGCTAAAGAGTGGTGGTTATGGCAACTAACATCCATTAGAACCTCGCAAAAGGCATCTCCCACACCAGTACAGATTCCCCTGTCCCAAATAATCTCAAATGAACAGAAAATGTCGCAGGAAAATCTCAATGCCATAGCCCCTATAAGTATCAAAAACCACAAAAGTCCTCGTTTCCCACTAACATACGCTGTTTCCCATATAATTCCACTTGCACACTTTTCAACCAAAAAAAAATAAAAATAGTTTTACATTATACAAAATAAATATGTAAAAAAATTTGTTTTGATTTAAAAAAAGTGCTTTAAGAGCACTTATGAGAATATCCAAACACTTTTTAAGGTTTTGTTTGCTTTCACGGTTAAAATCACTTGTGTGACGTTTCATGTAAAATGAGATAAAATTCTTTTAATATATTTATCTCATATTCTGTAAATTATGATTAAAAAACTACTTATAAATTATTTCAAACATTTCCTCCATGTTAATGCTTTTGATTTTAACTTCGATATTCCACCGGAACCGAAAGTCCCATCACTTTAGATATATAACGCTAGTTTATATCAGAACAGAATAAAGCGAACAAGAGAAAAGAAAAACATATCACCTTTTCTTCATCTTGCTTGCCTTTATCTTCATTAATATTCCAAAACTTGCGGTCCCCAACGGAAGCAAACATAATCACAGGGAGACAGAGACATGGGTTGCTGTTTCCGGGGCTCAAGAACTCAGCCTCCCATGGCGACCTCGTTTCAAGAATACTCATCAGGACCACCACCACAACCCAGAAATCTCCGGCAAGAAGTTCTGTTCGAATTCCCAGGATGCAGAGTTCATCTCATGGACGACGGCGAAGCCATCGAACTGGCACAAGGCCACTTCGAGATCGTCAGAGTCGTCGACGATAACGAGTCACTGGCCACAATCGTAAGAATCGTCGGCGGCGACCTTCAATGGCCGTTGACGAAGGACGAGCCGGTGGTGAAGCTCACTGCGGTGAACTACCTCTTCTCGCTGGCCGTAAAAGACGGCGAGCCTCTGAGCTATGGCGTGACGTTCTCAGAACAGAGTATTGGGAACTTGGGGTATTTGGATTCGTTCTTGAAGGACCATGCTTGCTTCTCCGGACTGAAATCGAGCAGTAGGAAGAATGATATTGATTGGAAGGAGTTTGCTCCGAGGGTTGATGATTATAACCATTTTCTGGCAAAGGCAATCGCCGGCGGTACTGGTCAAATTGTGAGAGGTATCTTCATGTGTAGCAATGCCTATACCAACCAGGTTTGTCTTCTCTACTTCATTATTCATTTACCCATTTTCATTATCCCCTGCATTAGATAACATCACTTTTTAAAACCTCAAATGTAAAACTTAATGCTTTGATGCTGATGATAAATGTAAACGTGATATCTTAATGTAAGGTAACAGCTGCCTCCTATACTTAACATAAGACATAGCTTAACTTTTAATTTGATACTAAATATAAAATTTTAATTCATTTTGTCTTTTATATTTATTTATTTTTTTACAAAGTAGTCTTTGTAATAGTCACGTGTTGAATGTTTTATTAAATGATAGTTTTAGCTAATACATATGATTAACAGGAGTATTTTATGAAAGATAACACTTATTTATTATAAATAACTAATTTAATTAATTTTCTTAACTCTAAATTAATTAATTAGGTCTTTTATTAAGGGGGTGTTTGGGTTTTTTGCCAAACCATGGTTTGGCTTCCCAAACCATGGTTTGGCAAAAAATTTGCCAAACACCCTTAAAATTTTAAAAACCATGGTTTCCAGCAAAACCATGGTTTTGAGCTGGAAACCTTGGTTTCGGTTGAAGCTGCACGCCACCCGCTTCTGAGGAGTCTTCTGAGGAGTCAAAATAGTCGTTGGTAATTATTGGTCCCTCAGTAGCTTCCAACGGTGATATATATATATATACATATTTTATTAATATATATTATTTATTAATATATGTACATATTTAATTATTTTATTAAATTATTTTGGGAAAAAACATATTTATTTATTTTATTAATATATGTACGTATTAATTTTTTTTATTAATATTTTTTATTTATTTTAAATAAAGATATATTATGAAATATATCTTATATGTAATTATCATTTATACTTATGTCCTTTTTAGTAATTTCTACATATAAAAAAGTACTTCTGACAACAACTATCCAAACACTCTCACTTTATCAGAATTACTTTTTCAGAAAAGCTATTCTTTCAAAATCTATTCTCTCCATAATCTATTCTCCAGAAGTTATTCTCCAAACCATGGTTTGAGGTTATCCAAACACCCCCTAAGTTATAAAGATAATAATTGACTTTTAGTGGGTGTGTTTGTTGCCAAGGGGAAAAAGAAGGCAGAAAGAAAAATGTTAGCTGTATGCAATAGCAGGGCGGGTATTATAGCTAGAAGGGACAAATGGCCCTACAAAGACTTTTTGCCTCCTAACTAATCATTGTACTCCCTGATTCGTAATATTAGTCAATTTAGTTCATTAAATATGTTTTAAATTACTTTTTTTCAATTTTATTAATATTAAATGAGGTAGTAAAGAAGAGAGAAAAATAAAGTTATATTTAAATATTAATTGTAGAGACAAAATTAAGAAATAAAAATTAATTATTCTTCAGGTGACTATAGTTTTTACCAAGCTATTTTTCTCAAAGCGACTTATATCACGAACGGGAAGGAATATGTGTGACACTTTTACCCTATATATTTAGGCAATTTAACACCCCCTCCCTATAGGGAAGGGACCAACTTACCTCTATTTTCATTATTTTGACAGCATGAGGTATATAACCCAGAGCATCCTCTATGAAAGGAAGTGTATGGTCACGTGAGCTAAAAGCTCTAAGCTGTATGATATGTGTATTATGCATGTATGAAAGCTCAACCTTGGTTGGTCACTTAGATCAAATTAGTTTGTTAACTAGTCTGATCAAGAGTTTTGACAGATTGAATGGATTAGGTTTTATATTTTTTCTCTCCTTACTAACATCATTTTGGGTTAAAAAATACAAGGAAAAAAACCAATCATCCATTATATTTATGCTTCAGTAATTCTATTTCATTGGCTTATATTTAGTTTGTGTATAAATGTTCTATTTACTTGTGTGTTAATATCTTTTATATTTAAATATTATTCTTTTCAGCTTTATATATAAATATTTTTGTATATTTTAATCATGACTAGGCTAAGTAACTCTGGTTGAACTACTAGTTCTTGAACCACTAGTTCTTGAACCACTATTTTGATCAATTCAATAACCAATAATACAGTTTTAACTACCCTGTTTTATTACAGAAAGAAAAATGTGTGTTTATGGCCCCATATTTGATGATATTAATTTCAGTGCCTCCAAAACATGTGTATATATAATTGTCCCAACAGCCTTTTTTTTTTTTTTTGGTTGCTCCATATCTGTGTTATGGTAAGTATGTTTGTTGAAGTTTGATCTAAAATTAGTGGGGGAAAAGCAGATCCAGAAAGGAGGAGAAACAATCCTAAAAAGTGGCGCTGAACAGAACAACAATGGTTTCATGCGCAGAGATAGTAGGGGCTACACTAGTTCTGGTTCCACGAACAAGAACCAAGTGAACCAGAATCTTAAACGGTACCCAAAAGTAACTGATATAACTGATACATTACATATATAGTGGGCAGAATCTGATGAAAATGTTGTAATGTAGGGTGAGGAATGTGTCGAAGATGACAGAGAAGTTAAGCAAGTCATTGGTGAATGGAGTTGGAATAGTGAGTGGATCAGTGATGGGACCCGTTGTGAGATCAAAACCAGGACAGGCTTTCTTGAAGATGCTTCCTGGGGAGGTGCTCTTGGCTTCTCTTGATGCAGTCAGTAAGTCAATATAATCTCATTAATGAAACCTAGGTTTGGATTGATGGAAGATTCATTATTATATTCAAGGTTTGTAACGTTGTGTGTTGTTCATTACAATGTTGTTTCCATGTCACAGACAAGGTTCTTGATGCAGCTGAAGCTGCTGAGAAACAGACACTTACTGCAACCTCCCACGCTGTAACTAGAAGCGTCACCAACAGGTAGCCCTCTGGTCTGAAATATATGAACTGGTTAGAAAGCTAGTTTTGATAATAAATACTCCTCCGGTCCTAATTATAAGACCTAATTGACTTATTTGAGGAGATTAAGGAAGTAAGTTAAGTTAGTTATTTATAATAAATAAGTGTTGTCATTCCTAAAATATCCTTGCTAATTAAGTATATTGGCTAAAACTCTCATTATTAGAAGGATTATCTTGAAAAAAATGCATAAATATAAGAGACAAATAGATTGGGGTCTTATAATTAGGACCAAATAAAAAGTCAAATGGGGTCTTATAATAAGGACCGAAGGAGTATAAGATTTTAATCTATTTTGTCTCTCATATTTATTATTCTTTCTCAAACAAATTCATCTATTCATCTAACTTATAAATAGCAATACCACTCCAGTCCTAAATATAAGTCGCTATTATGAGAAAATTTTAATTCTAGATATAAGTCACTTGTACTATATGTGATGCTTGTTTTTTTAATTTTACCCTTATTTATTTTTTATTGAAAAGAGAGAAAGAATGGAGAAATATGGGAATGATTGATAATTGTAGAGAGAAAAAATTTTAATAAGGATAAAATTGGGAAAAAAATTCATTTTGATGTATTCTTTGGTATGTGAGAATGTGTTACAAGTGATTTATTTAGCTTCCATACTCTACTCAAATTACTGCCTCCGGTTCTGATTATAAAATCTCGTTTGTAGACTATAAACAAGGTTTTATAAGTAGAACTAGAGGTAGTAGTTAAGTAGTTCTTACATTAAAGACTGAAAGAGTAATTAAAAGTCATGAAACTTCCTTAAACTCTACTTCCTCTAGCTTATAATATAGAAGTTAGATAGCTAATTTACAGAGATTAAGAAAATAAATTAAATTAGTTATATATAATAAATACACATTAGTTTTCCTAAAATACCTAATTTAGTCATTTATATTAGAAGCTATTCTCATCGATGAAAACTTTTTTTAGCATGTGCGATGACAATCATGAATTTGCGAGACAACAAAATGAATTAAGTTGTTTGGATGAGCTGCTCAGAAACATCTTCCCACAGGTCAAGACAAAATTTCTCATATGCCTTGTACACTGTAAAAGATACAAACATAATCCAAACACCTAAAACAAATACTTGAACAAGTTTCTACATTCAGAATTAAGACACACAACAAATTTGAATATGAGATGATTTTGGATGCTTGATGAACAGGTTTGGAGAAAATGCAGGGGAAGCTACAGAGCATGTGCTTGCAACTGCAGGACATGCTGCTAACACTGCATGGAACGTTTTTAAGATACGAAAGGCCATAAATCCAGCTTCTTCTGTTAAAACTGGCGTGCTTAAAAATGCAGCCAAGAACGCGTCTCTCAAATACTGATCATCCCAAATTTGGTGAATTTAGTAACAAGAAACTGTATTATTCATTTCTAGTTCTCTTCTCCCATAAAGTAATGGGAAGCCCTCTCATGTTATTTTTGTTGGAGAAACTGGTTGATGAATATCTTGTTTGGTTCTGTGAATGTCATGGTTTGCTTTATATATCTCACCTCTTTTAAAAGCTTTCTTTCTTTGCTTTTTTTTTTAAATTTTCTTTTAATTTATTATTGTGATTTGCATATAATATAAATTTGCTATACCTTAATCAATCGCCGCCTTTATGTAAACATCAGTTATTAAAAATCAATATAGTGCTCTTTTGCCGCCACCCGGCCCCGGGGGGGGGGGGGGGGAAGCACCCAAACTTGAAGCCTCCAAGTTGAGCATTCATGGACTTGATGAAAATCACATCTGCAGAGTGAATAACGTGCCTTTAAGCTACATTGTGTGCGTGCGTGTGTGTGTAAAGTTTTATCTTTCTGTCACTTAAAGTTTTAGATGATAAAGATTCATATAACTTTGGGTTTTATATATACTAGTGTGTGTGTGTGAGAGAGAGAGAGAGTTAAAAGAATATATATCATAAGCGACGTGTTATGTTCGAAATTATTGTTATGGAATTCAAATTTATCTGCATAAATTTGAAAGTTTATATCAGTTGCTTATCATAATATAAAAATGATAGGCAAAAAAAAGTATTTTATTTAAAATAAATATATTTAAAATTAACTTGGCTGCATATATCTATCTGCAAACTGGTTTAGTTAGCAAATTTTGAATCTTTGGAAAGAGTTTCCCCAAATTTTGGAACTGTATTAGGACATAGGAAATAAATAAGAGAAAATCTTACATGGCTTTTAGTCAAATAGGTGGGATTTATTTTCATGGCAAGGCCGATGCACATGAGATGGTTTCATGAGACGCAAAATTTTCGGACAAAAAATGTCCCCAATTATGAAATTTTTGAACACCTTTACCCCTTGTTCAATTAAATTCAAGTTAGTCAGATTATGAGTTTAATTAAGGTTTGAGGTAATTAAATACCTTAAAAGTATTCACAAAGAAACACCTAGTATCTGAAAAAATTTTTTGACTCTTATATACTCTAAAAGTTTATTTTCGTAACAAAAATACTCTTGTCGTTATCCACCATTATACTTAACTGTTAAATTATGTGGTTTAACCGATGCATTTAACGGTCAAACTTAAAAACTTAATAGTATATAATGGTTCATAGCAGAAATAATACGAAATAAAACTTTTAAGACATATAAGAGTCTAAAAAAATTTTTAGGTGCTGAATACTTTTTCATTGCTGCATTTGAGATATTCAAGCACCTTATAGTTTTTTTAAAGCATCTCGTAGATTTAGTTAAATTGAGATTATCATACGCACGTTAACATGACTTCTTTTTTTTTTTTGTGGTTTTCTGTGGTAGTAATGAAACATTATTGGGACGAGACCGATATGGTTTGGCTCTGAATTTGGTACGTTTGAGAACCTTCTTGCCACTAAATTCCGTGGATGTTAAAGAATGGTTTCTGAAATAATAAGAAAGATCAGATCACGATATCCTTAAAAAATTCAAATGTTACCAGAAGTAAAATACTCTTCTCGTTCTAAATATAAAATCTATTTTGTAGTATAATTTACACTATAAAATGAATTTTATATTTAGGAGCGGAGGGAGTAACATATATTCTAAAATCTAAATCTTTAGAATCCTTCAAATCTTCTTTCCCCGTATTTCGTTCAGGCCTGCCCCTCCGTATATTTGCAATTTGGTTTGCAGACGTGTTAATAATCACAGTACATGGACCTCATCCATCTGTGAGCTTCTGTGTAGGAAGAAGCTCCCCCAAACCCCCCCCCCCGGGGGTCTTTGAACTTGGTTTACTCAAGTAAGATAAGAGCCAACTAGATTAGGGTAAGCAACCTTTTTAGACCAGGCCCTTCAGCCCCGGCTCGTTTTTTCACCTCTAAATAATTATATGCATGGACCTTATGCGTTTGTAAACTTTGATAAGAAGTCATCTCCTTAGGTTTCTCTATCTATCAATGAGGGCTGAGTCTAACTGAAGATGTAGTGAATCAATATCCAAATTTCTATTGAAAAAAGTATCAACATTTAGTGCGCGACAATGTTTCGAACATGATTGCCTGTATTAGGAAGATACTTGTGTCTATAAAAAAAAGATCTCTCTCTCTCTCTCTTCGTTCTTGCTATAAATCAAATAAAGATCTTTGAGCTTAGTTTCTTCCAGCAAGATAAGAGCCAACTAGATGCATCACAAAAAAGAAATTGCGAGCTTAATTAGAAGCATTATTCCCTGAGTGATGAGAAGAAAAAGCACTAATGTTGGATATACGACCTCCTCTGCATTTTAATGATTCTTGGTGCATCTCTCTCATATAATAATCTAACAAAAAGAAAAGCCAATTCATCATTTGAGTGAATATCTAGAAATGACATTTCACAGTCACAGCTTATAGCTTGGTGAGATGACGAAGATAAAACAATTATTAATTGGTCTAATCATTATCGTTCACACTTGTTTATTTAATTATTTTAATTCTACCCCTGGCTGCTACTACTTAATCTCTTATAATATAGCCCTTAATTTTTGTTCAGTGTTTGTAGACAACTTTGCACAACAATGAAAGTTAAATCGTATAATTCTTGGTTTTGTCCTTTTGTTGGAAAGTTGATTGATCACAAAGGAATATGTATACCTATAAAGCAATATGAACATAGCTAACAAATTTCCTGCAATATACTAATAAAATTATGGTAGTTTTATTGCACTAATCTCCATATAAATATATATAACTCAATTAATTAATTAATTAATGAGGAGGGAAGTTAATTAATGTCCTTGTCAAATATGCATGCTTTAATTTGTACGTCTGTGTGGCCTCAACTGAGTGAAACATCTTAATCATGCTTTTCTCAGGCCACCATCAAAGTCACTTTCAATATATAAAAATAAATATATAGATATATAAATATATATATATAATATTCTTGCTTTTTAATCATAATGAACCCTTAACAGTGAAATAACATTTCAAAAGAATACCAGAGTCAAAAGTTTCTGAGGACTTAAGAGAGTGTAAAATTAATCCCACTGTCAGCTTACTGAATTCCTCCAATGTAAATCACGTTAACCTAACTTCGTACATATAAAAAAAAAAATTATGTCAAAAATTGGTTAATTAACTTGTTAAATTTGTCAAAAGGATAAGAAATTACAATGCTTTCCATTATTGCTAGTTAGAAGGTTATTTCTATTTCCAACTTTCTAAGATTGGTACTTTTTAAATTCAGAATTTTTTTTAGATAATGTAGCATTCAATAGTCTAATGCTATTTTCTAGTAGCATTCAACATCCTAATATTATTTATGGTATATCCGGCATTAATTCTAATGTTATTTTCTTGGTACACCATCATCTCTTAATGTTATCTTCCAATGCAGTGTCATTATCTTATTTCAGTCTAGGACACACTAAGATTAAAGTGTTAAAAGAATCAGAAAAATATGCATTATAAATAAGATTAAATTTTTAAATGCAACTAAAAAATAATTTTAGGATATTGAATGCTACTTTATTTCTTATTTAAAAATCATTTAAATAATGCAGTTAATTAAAACTGACATATATTTAAAATCAAAATAATTCCATTAAAAGTATTTATTCTCACGAGGCTGAACATTTTCCCCACAAAATACTGACATTTAACTGTCTCTCACTTCTTAATTACAATCAATGACAGAACATTAAAAAAAAAAAAAAAAAGAACTAGACATTACCTAAAAGTAACTTATGTTTTAGATTTTAAAAAACCTTCTAAAATATATTACTTGTATTTTTAACCTGAAAGACTAATTCAATTTGATTTATGATAAAAGCTGTTTTATTATAGTCAATCAAAGACAACCATACCAAACCAATAACTAAATATAAAGCTGTTTAAGTCATTCTCTCATTATTGTACTAAGCTATTTTAACTAACCCATTGATCAAACCCACTATCCAAATCAAATGTACTCTCTAAATTTTATTATATATCAGACTAATTATATTCAATTAATTTGGCCTCGTTTAGTCACCCTGGCTAAACACACATACACGCATCTGTATAAAATAACCCACTTTATAGATTTGGCATGCCCCAATGCTCTATAATTAATGATTATATGCAAACTTAGCACATGTTTCATATGTATGTGCCCTAAAAATAAGTATATCTATATGGGCATCATGAGGAACAACTTTTTATGAGGAGTCAATACGAAAATAACAAAGCATATAGGGGGGGAGAGAGAGATTCGGTTAAGGTGAAAGTGAGGAGGCAGAACCTGGAAATTCCAGACAATTCTGGGGTTTGATTAAAGACATATCATATTTATATATTGTTTTTAAATGCTCCACTCAGTGTTGATGGTCCCTTTGATTATTCTTTTACTTTTTTGTTATTTGTTTGTTTGTTTTTTTCCTTTGTGAGCTAAGGCAATTTGCAATTCGGACCTAATTAACCTCTGAAAAGCCACTTAATTATAAAATATTTAAAGCAATAATATATCTTTAAGCCGAAAATAACGGATGGTGCTCTTCTTTAGTTCTTTGGTTTCCTTGTAATTTGTGTGGGCTAACTAATAATTTATACATGTTGTGTATGTACTACACACACACACACCCATATATATATATATATATATATGCGCCAAACTGCACATGCACATTAAAATTGTTTTTTTAAAAAATATTTACCAATTAACAGCCCTATACCACTATAGTTACAACTTTAAATCATGTACTACCTCTGGTCCTTAATATAAGACCCTGTTTGACTTTTAATTTGGTCCTAATTATAAGACCCCAATCCATTTTGTCTCTCATATTTATGCATTTTTTCCAAGATAGTCCTTCTAATAATGATAGTTCTAATCAACACACTTAATTAACAAGGATATTTTAGGAATGACAGCACTTATTTGTTACAAATAACTAACTTAACTTACTTCCTTAATTTCCTCAAATTAGTCAACTGCGTCTTATAATTAGGACCGGAGGTAATATTAATCAATCAGTGTTTTGCCATTATATATAATCCTTTCTAAGAGGCAAGCTTAAAATGTGTAGTTACTACGTTAGATGA